CCGTTTATTATCCTTATCGGCACAGGCAGGTAAGACAGCGACTGGCAGGTAAGACAGCGACTGGCAGGCAGCAGTTGAAGAAAATATCACGTACGCTAGTAGTAAATAAGTATCCATGCATGTGGGTAAGTGTTCACTTTTGCAACACAGCATGCACTTTGTTGTTTTGCACTTTATTTTCTTTTATACTTATCGGCCGTTTTGAAAAGTAAGCACTTTTCTTTTACTTTATCAACTTTAGTGTGTCACTTAAGTTCGAGCAAATGAGTCGTTGTTCCCTTTTTGCTTTATAGCCGCTTTTACTGGTTTTGCCAGCATTCAACTGACATTTTGCACTTTTTTAGTGTCACCTGAATTATTTTTACAATCCGCCATGCTTTCTCTACGATTTGGCCATGGCTATTATTTATTAAAGGCCGCACTACTTTATATTTAGTTACTTCAAGAAAGTATTCACCTTTGAAAAATTGTCATTACCCAAAATTATATATGCATTACCGCTAAAGCCATAAGTTTGGTTTGTTTCTACAAAAATTTGTATTTTCGTTTGAAATTTCGCATTTAAAAATATAAATTTCCTGGTTTCGCCAATTTTTCTTTTTATTATCTTTTTATTTCTGCATGACGCTTCAATTAGATTGTTTCCTTCTCTTATTTTTGTTATTAGTTACTTCTTCACTTGCACGTTTTTGTATGCCGCGTCGGGTTTATTTCTCTCCGCCGAGCCAAAGCGTCGGCTACGAAAAATATCATTAGAAAAATATCATTAAAAAAATATCAAACTGTCAACAAAAGACAGAAAATTCAATGATTATGGAAATAGCATCCGGTCAAACGTGTTTTGTTTGCGGCACAGTACCTTTTTTTTATTCGAAAATTCACCGGAACCTTTTCTGCTGTTTCCAATTTTTTAGGCGTTGTACGCCAGCTCATAAACAGCGCTCAAGCTTGTCTAGTCAGGTCTTTAATTCTNCTGCCAATTCTAAATTCTCTTTTCCCAATTCAAAGACATTTCCCATACATCAAATCAATTCCATGCATCGACTTCCGTTTATTCGAATGTATGCACCGCAAGAACTTAAACGTATTGTAGTACCTTTTTCATTTAGCTAACTAACATCGACTTCTTATTTCCTCCGTTAACACAACATTCGCTCTCAACATACGACCACTGACTGAAATGTGAAAACACAGCACAGCCACTGCGGCCGATACTGCCAATGATGCGTCGACTGAAACACGCAGAGCAGACAAGTACATACTAGACGCCTGCTGGCTCGACGCTACGTTTGTCGCCTGCTGCTGCCGTTCCCGTCTATGTTACATTAAGTCTGGTCCTATGGTACTACACCCTACACCACGACGCAACGTTGGCGTAGCCGTTGGCAGAGTTGTTGACTTCGGCCTCGACGTCGTCGTCATCTCTGTTTTTGTCGCCATAGCGAGTTATTGTTTTCGTTTCTCGTGCCTGCTGCTGTTTTTGTTGTTGTTCTCCAAAGTCGGCAATCGACATGGCATAATAAAGTACTACATACTAGCTGGTGGTAGGCACTAGATGGATGACTGACTGGTTGGCGGTGGTGGCGATGGCGGCACCGGTGGCGGCATATAAAGCAAAGCGCAAGGCGGCGGCAAACGTGAAAAACATAAGAGAGCGCGCGGTTAGG